CTCCACTACCCTCCTCGGTGCTGGACTCCTCCAGCGCTGTGCCTCATGGCTGATGAGCAGCGCAGCTGCAGTCTCGAAATAGCGCAGCAGGGAGTCTCTAAAATAACGCAGCAACCAAGTTCCTGAATCAGCATAACGCTAGATTTCTCCTAGTACCTTTTGTCCCGAACTGGGCAACGACCCAGCTTATGTAGCACTGGGCCAGGACTGGAAACCCACGGCCTGCGTTCTGGGCCGTGCAGATTTCGATCCACGGTCCAGATCGCGGGCTTTGAAACTGGTTCAGCCCTTGGCCTAAAACGGCCTGCCTGGGTCCCTACCGGACGTCCAGGTCCTGTCCAGGATTCAATTTCCTGGTACCTGGCTTCGAACCGGTCCTGTGCAGACGTACCCGGCCTCAACGTCGGCCTGGGTCCGAACAGGTAACAATCTGTTCGAAAACAAAAGAATAGGTCCAAAGGTTTTTAGGAGCTCAGCCTCTGGGCCTGAATCTGGCCCTGGTCCTAAAACGTGTACCTGGCCACAAAACGGACAACAGTACAACCGTTAGAAAAACAGCAGCAAAAGAATATAAAATAATCTAAAACTGGCATTTTTATGATGCAGGCCCAAGTAAAAATGCCATAGGGCCTTCAGGTTGCGGTGACGCGACCTGGGGGCCCTATTCCAACCTCGGGTCCCGTGAGGGGCCTGTGTGTAGGCTTTCAGCATGTAACAATTTAGCACTAGCGGACACCCATACTATAAATGGGTGCCGGCGCGCGGGCTACTAAAACACTCCAAGGCCACACCTTTGTCTAGCAACTAAACCCACGACCGTCAAGATCCCGTGCACTATTCACTCCGTTCATCACACAAAAACCGCACCACCGTCAGAGTCGTCCTCCACATGAGCGCATGTGCACCATGGTCACATCAATGGAAAGGATCGCTTAGTCCTATTTTAATCAAAGTCAAAAGTTGGCCAGGGGATGCACAGACTCTATAACATCAATTAGGAACATCACGCGCGCCCACACACTCTCGCGCCTTGCCAGCCAAACATTTAGTCAGCGCAAGGGAAAATACAGTCGTGACTTGCGCAGAGCACTCAAATTTCAAAGTCAAAACTTATTTTCTGTCACTTGCACAAACCAGGGCGGATACTCTTGTAAGGGTAGTATTTGCACTGACAACGATTCTGGCTAGCAGTATCAATCAATGGCGCTGGGCACCCATAGGAAGTAACCATAGCCAGATAAAGTTAGAGGAAGCTTTGGAGAGGGATGAGAGAGGTATTCAGAGAGGACAAAGACCTTGGACATAGAGAGGGAAGTGAGGGCCAGATCGAGGGAGAGAGACCATACTCGAGAGAGCTGTTTGGAGCTCATAGGTGCACTTTCTTGTACCTTGACATTGCAGGGTATTTGAGTTCATTGGTCAAGACTATGCCGAGCTTCCATCTCACGTATGCTTTGTGGATGTGCGCGTCATGGTGCGAGCTTGGTGTGGAGTGCCGTGCAGGGATGGTCGGTTCCAAGGCAATGAGACTTCCGTACAGGTAATTCAGAATTTTTTTTATTTTTTTTTTTTTTTCAACCACCTCTCACGACTGCATTCTTCGGGAGCGTGGCCTCCCAGACCTCTTTGGCTAATGGCGGCAGCCATAAAGGGAAAAAACGAGCACCGAGCTCATAGTTTTGAACTTGGCGTGTAACACAATTCCACCACGGGAAAAAGAGGGCCGGAGGGGGATGGCCTACATAGTCAAACTGATGAGCCCTAGGTCATTCACAAATATTTGATTTTGTCATGTAGATGGAAGTTCAAACTCTAGACTGCATTTTAACGGTTCATGGGTATATTCACTGACTTCTGGTTATTTTTTTCTTTTTTTTCTTTTTGCAATGAACCCAGTCGTGATGAGAAGCCAAACAATGCCGTGATACAAGTCTGATCTCAGCTGACAAATAATGTCTCCGAAATTGCTGATATAACAATGCCCAACAAGTAAGCACTTCTCAAGGGCCATGTAACCTCATAGAAAATAAGAAGGTAGAGGGGAGATTAGACAGAGCGGAGGAGGAGAAGAGGAAAGAGTCCCTGCCACTCATGCATGAACCTCCTCTCGCATCGTTCTCCTCAGGCAGTAACTCCCCTGTCGCCACCTCAACAATATTAATTCTCTCCCCCGACGTCCTCTGGTATCACAGTGTGCAGGTCACAGCAGGTGCAGGTCTTCCTCACCTTCATAGAGGGGCTCGTTCCACACTCCTCGGGGCATCC